GGGGGGGGGACACACACGCCTGACAAAAGGCGCGGTTAGCTGAAACTTGATACAAACTGATACAACTCGGTCAGATCATGTTTTTGCCACAAATAAACATTTCCAGAGTTCATTGGTTTAGTTATTTTGTTTTAAACACAATTAAAACACAATTTCTTTGTTCTCACCTGTCCACACAAATCACACCATGGGGGAAAGAAATGAGTCTGAACTAATGTAACTTAAGAAGCAGCATATCAAAGATCATTTGACTATGTTTAACACAGTAAAACATTGTCTTACCTTCTTTACATACAGACACATTCAGCAGGCCAGACCCCAGGCAATTACCAGCAGGCACACAAAAGCCTGCGTTGTCTGGGTTCACAGTCAGATTGGCGAACACTGAGCTGGGAGGAACAAATCGATACCCAGTGATCCCCTTCACTGTCACATCCTCCTCATACACTGTGTACAGAGACCTTAGAAAGAGAGTTACATGCTTGTTAATCTCTGGATGCACTGCGTTACTGGACAATGACACATGGTTTGAATTCATGAGCTCAGCGATAAGCTGATTTACAGAAAACCTGCATTGAACAAACTGGTTATACCAGTTTTTCAACGGTTGTGTTGACACCTCTTATTAACTAAGCTGTTAGATGACCTGTAAATGTGACTTCTGTTTCTAATATATTAACAATCACAGAGGACTGACATTTGTTGTTTTAAGCAGCATTAAATAGGCTGTGGCCTCATTTAGGAGGCTAACACTGACCAGCCTTGAAACCAGCCAAACTGAATTAGGATCCCTAATCCAATATTCAGACCAGGGAAAGGCTCAGGAAGGCTGTGGGGGGAGCCATTTCACTAGCTCAAGCCAAGAGGGAAAATACAGCAAATGCTGCATGAGTCAGCAGAATATGGCTTGAAACTGAACTGAAATAACCTTCATATGAAACTAAAAAAGTCCAGATGCTCAGCTGAAAAACACATTCAGCTACAATGACTAAAATAGAAACAAACATTTACAATGAATGTTTTATACATTTCTAAATTCAAATATTTTAAATTTACATTTAAGTTTTTTGGGTTTTTTTTAAAAACACAACCTTTTAAATTCAAGTGACGTATTAAATGTGTCTTTCTTCAATAAAGAACAGAAGTGTTCTTTATTTTATTTAAGAATAATCAAAAAAGAATAATTACATTTTGAGCCGCACGGCTTCAATCCAAATTTGAAGGTTTTGGAGGTTGGCCTGCCTAGAGCCCGACCTCAACATTACTGAAGCAGTGTGGGATCGTCTTGACAGAGAATGGAACAAAAGGCAACCGGCATCCAAAGAAGAGCTTTGCATGTCTTTCAAAAAGCTTGGAGAACTTTTCCTGAAGACTACTTCAAGAAATTACAAGAAAGTTTGACAGGCTGTGTTCAAGAATAAAGGTGGTCATACCACCATGTGTTTCATTAAATTACTGCAATTATTTCCCAATTTACTGGCACACCAGTAAGAGATGAGGGGTGGCTCAACACTTTTGCACAGTACTGTATATGCAATCAAAAGATTGAATCTTTCACTGGTACAGCTTTTTGCTCTACTCACCTGCACAGGTCAGACGAGAAAATGTAGAGCATATCATTCTTGGTGATTACAGGATGGAAGCCTGTTCCAATGGTTCCATTAATCATGTTGCACTCATCAGACGTCCACCAATTCAAGGAGCTGCACAGATATTCAAAATGTTACAAAGTTCGAAGGTTTAAAAATGTTTCAGACATTTAGCATGCCCAGCTAAAAGCCATGGAAAGCCATTTGCTGGGCAAAGAGGACTGGATATATTTGTAGGTTAGGAAGCACACTATAAAATAAGTGTGTTTCCCAAAACTGCTGCTCAAGGTACAACAGCCTAGTCTTAAAACAATTAGGTTTGTAAGACAGGCAGAGATAAAAGGCAGTGCAAGAAAGATGATCATATTTTGGGGGTTTAGTGAGTACAGATGCAGAGCCGATGGTTGGCTGTTCTTCTCTGTGACAAAGATAAGAGAGTTTGGTGCTTTACCTAAGTAGTTATTTCATTATTGATTACATTTTTTAAAATGATGTTAAAGGGAGAAACATCAGCGTTTGATCCCTGCAGTGAGTGATTCTGTTTTGCTGTTGGGGGGATTTGGCTAACATGGTTTGACTTTCCTCATTTAATGGCTATGAAATGAAATGATAATTATAAAAGGTATATAAGCCAAACTAGCAGCCAGTGGTTATTTTGGTCACATGTCTGTAAACAGACTCAGTTTCAGTGTCCTATTGGCGGTGATATAAGAAAGAGAACGAAAACTCAACAGGAACACAGTTAAACCCACCTTGATCATATGACACAAATCACTTGGTGTGCATCCATTAACTTCATGTCACCAACAAAACTCACTGATGAACAATGTTACTATTAAACTGTAAATCCAACATGTGCAACAGGTGAGAGGAGACAATTACCTTTCTCCTTTCCACGTGTCCACTCTGGAAAAGTCCCTATAGTTCTGCTGACCAGTGAAAAACACATATTCTCCATCATTGGAAGCATTGTTCTGTAAGATGGGGGAAAAAAGTTTTTTTTTTTTTTTTTTTAATTTTATAAAAAAAAAAAAGGTTTACACAAAGAACACAATTA